CACTATCTCTAAAAGGTAAGGACTACTTTTAAAAACATAACCACATTATCATTATCACTCCTAGGAGAAATGAATCATATTTCCTTAATATGGTCAATTACTCAGGGTTCAGATTTTCAATTGTCTCAAATGTCATTTTTTAAATAGTTTGAATCATGATTCAAATAACATCCATACATTGCAATTGGCCGGTATGTCTTTTTAAGTCTCTTTTGATGTTGTACACACACACCCCTCATTTTACGATTCGTCAGCTTTTTTCCCCAGTATTTTTCATAGCCTGTATTTTGCTGATTACATTCTTGTGGTATTTAATATGTTCCACTATTCATAGTATTTCCCATACTTTGGTATTTGGATCTAGAAGCTTGGTTAGATTCAGATTTGATGTTTTGTTTTTGTTTGTTTCGGGCAGTACTGTTCATAGATGGTGATATGTTTTTCCACAGAGATGAATAATGTCTTTCTTTTTGCGTTATCAGCTATTGATATAAATTTCATGCATAACAAAATATTATTTTGGGTTTTTTTTTTTTTAAAGCAACTATTTAAAAATGTAAATTCTTAGCCATTAGCTTTCAGGGCATACAAAAACAAACAGAACAGGATTTCACCCACAGGCCATAGTTCCCTGATTCCTATTCTAGGGTATCTACCTAAGAGGGAAACTGCTTTAACCGCAGTGATACTAAAGTTCAGTGTTCAAAACAGTGCCAAATTGTTTTCTAAAGTAGTTGTAACACCAGCAATGGATGGGAAGCTCTCCTGCCCAAGACAGGGGTACCTAAGAGGGAAACTGCTTTAACCGCAGTGATACTAAAGTTCAGTGTTCAAAACAGTGCCAGATTGTTTTCTAAAGTAGTTGTAACACCAGCAATGGATGGGAAGCTCTCCTGCCCAAGACAGGGGTCATTCAGGGTTCTAGGTATCATGAATCAGATAATTGGGCTGGGTTTATAATGGTTGAATTAATAGTCAGGTTACTCTGAGTCATTACTGAAAAATTGCGTTCTCCAAATTACCTGTCTCTAAAACAGCAAATATGTACCTACCTCTTAGAGTTTCTCAAGTTTTCTGCTTATTAAATCAAGTACTAGATAGCTATTAAAATGCTTTGAAAACTGTAAAATGAAAACTCAAAGAATGTGCTGTAGAGATGCCAAGTATTTTTTAATCATTGTTTTGGGGAAGCATACTAAGTACCCCAAACCTCTAATTGTCCTTGTTCTTGGTTTGTAATCGGTAAAGCTGCCTAAATGTATGGCCACACTCCTGTCGTTCTTGTTGTTTTTCTTTAGTAGATGATTAATTTATGTGCTTCTGAATGCTGTAGACTGAGAATGTTAAGGAAAACTGCCTTCATAGATTCTTAGCAATTGCAATCAGGAACCTTCTCGGGGCTCGGTTTCTAGTTTGGCCACTGGGGCATGGGGATTTCAGTTGTGGTTCCTCACATCTAGAATTTACTTCCTCTCTGTGGTTTGTACAAACCCATCTCACCTTCATGTGGTTTGATTTCCTCATTTTATGGACGTTTTCCCTTCAGTGGTGTACAGAGTTTTTTTAAAGCACCGTGCTTTGGACTCATCAAAAGAAAAATACGGTGTATAAAATAGCTTTTAAAAGTTGTAACTGTAAAAATGTCTACTTGAGGCTACTAGTAAATTTCTCAGGCAGTAATTTGTAGAGTCCTTTTAATGGATTGTTAGACTTTGAGGTTGAATATATGTGGTATACATTGAAGAAATCTGAGTAAGGGAGAGCAGATGCCCACTGCAGTCTCATAACTTTAATAAGTAGGGTATTAAAGGTGGGTAAAAAATAAAGGTAGGGCAAAACTTGGCATAACTCATTGTTTTTAACATGGGTATGGCTTTTTATGCCTATCTAATGATCACAGGAGCAGTTTCATAAATCAGATAATTGGCTGACACTCAGGCAGTACTGGTCCAGTTTTACAATAAATGGGTAGTTTGTGATGATAACAAAACTATGGGTGAAAAGAGAGGAAAGAGTAATTTCATATCAGCTTTGTGGATTTTGGAGGACAGCCCCGGAAGTATGAATTGCCTGGATTAACAATGATAGACTAGGGTTCAAAGTACATTATACTGTTTTTAAGTGTTAAAAGTTAACCACATTGAGACAGAACAGGGTGTTATCAAGGAAAGTGGGGGCTTGTACTGAGAATACCTGAACTCAAAGTCTGGTTCTGCTACTTTTCCACTGTGGGATGCTGGGCATATGTATTTCTCCATCTGTGATGTGAGCTAGTCGTATTTCTTCAGAGATGTTATGCAGATCAAATGAAATTGCACACCCTCATTTTTGTACCATTAAAAAGAAAAAATGCTGACAGTTAAACTAATTTGGTTTCGGGTGTAAGATGCACCTGAAATTCAGGGATGTCAAAATGTGGTGGACAAAATTGTTTTAAAATAAAAAAAAAAAAATGTGGTGGACAAATTGCATCTTAAGAATCAATAAAATACAGTGTGTATGAAAGCACCTTGCTATATAATCCTCGAGTCATATTTAATTTTATTATGTGAGTCAGGGACAAGAAACAAAGTTAAGAATAAACACCAGTGGGGAAGCACAGGCCAAACTGAATAAGAGAACAGCTAGCTGCAAGGAAGAAGAGGAAAGTGATCCCTTTTGGTCGTCGTTCATAGAAAATTGGCTCAGTGGCTCACGGCTCCTTACTCAGTTTAGTTTTCCAGATGTACACAGAAGTAAGTGTCTGTAGTTAGGGGACTCTTACTCTCCGTTAAAGTCAACTTCCTCCAGATTGGTTTTGAGAGAAATCACCAAGTGTTAAATGTATGGATGTTCCTCTGTTTTAGACTTTATTGATTTAGAACTTGCAGATTCTTGACAACCCTTGGTTAACTATATTATTCTTAAGGAAATCTTCAGCCAGTCTGAGCCCTACTTGTAACAATAGCATTTCAGCATTGCTTTTACAAATAGACCTTTTGTTATTGAAAAAGAACTTAGTCCTTTATTTTTTTGTAGTTCATCTTAGACTTCTCTGATCGTCACTGAAATTATTTTATACTCGAGAGTGTGTTTTGCTTATATAGGTGTTTGGGTTAGTTTTCTTCAAGTACTATAGTTTCACTTAGGAAAAAATTGCAGTATCGTGAGCTTGTCTCTTTGCCTTCCCTTTGATGCGTTTGGATACTTAATTCACCATAGATAAGGATTTTAAGGAAAAGTTTATTTCTTAGTAAAACACCAGTAGCTGAGACTTAACAGTTAGCTCTAACAAAGAAAAGGTTCAGAATTACTCTAGCCGAGTAAGATGTTTTCTGGATAACTAAGCCCTTATTAAAAACAATATGTAAAAATCTTTGTGCTCTAGATAGGGATGGGGAAAATTTCTCTGTGAAGGGCCAGATAGTGAAATATTTTAGGCTTTGTGGCTCACATGCATTATCTAATGCATATCCTTTTTTGGTTTGTTTTTATTTATTTCTTTTTAAAACAGCCCTTTAAAGATGTAAAAATCATTCTTAACGGGGGGGTGGGGGGGTGTCTTTCTATGCAACAGGCCACAGGTTGTAGTTTGCAGAATCCCGCTCTGTTGGCAAAGCTCCTTATCATGACCAGGGCTTGAGAAATGACTGATTCTAGAACCAGAGTAGGGAAAATATAAGAGGAGCCTTGGAGCCTCAAGGATGGAGTATGTCAAAAGGATCCAGTAGTCCACTTGAAAGAGCTCCCAGTAGCCGAAGCTGGAACAAGTTAAGCCACAAAATAAATGATGATAATATTGGATTATAACCCAAAGAATAGATGTCCATGAGTCCATAACTATATAAATGACTGCAAATAAATAAAGCAAGTAAGTGGAGGAGAGGGGACAAATCTTCCTTACAGAAGAATTCTAAATAATCAATGTAGAAGGAGGGAAATAGAAAATCACCATTAAAACATCACAGTATTAAATTGCTGTAGGCAAGATTCACTAACAGATATGGAAATTGGTGTGTAGAACTTTAGAGAAAAACAGGGTACTTGCATAGCTTCAAAATCTCTCCCCAAGTATTTATTAATTACTGTAGTGTTTTTGACATATGCTACAAACTCCTTAATATTCCTCTCTCCAGAAAATACAGTTTTAACTCCCTTCCCTGTGGGTGTACAAAGGACTTTGTGACTCTCTTAAGTAATAGAGTACGTAAAGGGGAAAGTGGTCACTTTACAAGTGGTGGGACCTGGCAGAAACCTCCCAGACCAGATGATTGAAGCTTACCTACCTGGAATAAGTCATGTACCCCTGATGTGTACAGGGAGGGCAGTTCACCCCTGTGCTATTCTAGATTATTCCCAAATATCTGTAACCTCAGTCTAATCTTGAGAAAACATCAGGCCACCCAATTGAGGGACATTCCACAAAATAATGATCAGTACTCTACAAAAGTGTCAAAGTTATGAAACACAAGGAAAGACTGAGAAACTGTCAGATTGGAGACTGGGGGGAAGTGATGATTAAATGCAACATTGGTAGCCTGGATTGAATCCTGGAAAAGAAGGACTTTAGTGGAGAAACCTGTAAAATCCAAATAAAATCCAAAGTTTGATAATAAGATTATACCAATATTATTATCCTAGTTTTGATAAATGTACTATGGAAATGTCAGATGTTAGCAATAGTGGAAGCTGGGTGAAGGGGCTTTGGGACCTCTCTGTATTGCCTCTGCATGTCTTCTGCAAATCTCAGATTATTTTAAAATATAAAGCTAAAAAAAGCTGGCCAGTTAGCTTAGTTGGTTAGAGCGTGATGTTATAACACCAAGGTCAAGCATTTGGATTCCCAGGCTGGTCAGCTGCCTTAAAAACCCCACCAAAAACAACAACAAAAGACAATTACCTTGCGTGTTATTTTGTGAACCCTTGGGTCCATTTATATCTAGAGGAAAATACATTGGTTCATTAAGTAAAGTTGATTTTGGAATGTACATCTTTTTAATACTATTTATCTCTCTTTCCAGGGGAGGCACCTGCTGCAGAAGTTTCTTCTTTTGTGATCCTATCTTTGTGCAGTTTAATGATATTAATAGTGTTAATTGCAAACTGTGTATCCTGTTGTAAGGACCCAGAAATAGACTTTAAGGTGAGCACAGATGGGAGGAACAGTTAAAATCATCTTCCGATATGTTTTTCAGTAGAATAGCTGTGTATACCACGGTTCCTTGTGAGCAGAGATCAGCAGACTTTTTCTATGAAGACCAGAGAGTAAGTATTTTCTGCCATAGTAAATATTGTGGGCCATATAGTCTCTGTTACAACTGCTCAACTCTGCCACTGTAGCACTGCACCAGTTAATAGACATTGTTAACAAGTGGTCATGGCTTTGTGCCAATAAAACTTTATTCACGAAAATAGATGGTTTAGACTTGGCCCACTGGCTGTAGTTTGCCGTCCCTGCCTTAGAGCATCATTGACAATAACCCCTTGCCTGTGGTGAGTTTAAGTTTTTGCTAAGTGAAGAATGAAGTACGATGATTGATTGAATCACTTGCCAGAGGGCCTAAAAAGAAAAGCAGGCTGGGTTTTTTTTTCCAGACTTAAGTAGGCTGGTCATAGGATTTGTGGTCATAGGATTACTGAGGCAAAGGGATCCCCCAGTGTGTTTTGTGTATGAAGAAGAGCATCAAAACCTGCAGTTTTTTTCCTGAAACCTTGCTTTCCCTAAGGGAAGAAGAATGCTGCTGATTATAAACTCCTGGCCCAGGGAGGGATACTAGAGAAGGACTGGGTCGTAGCAGTAGGTGGAGGGAATCTACCAGTAAACCAATGGGAGATCCTGCTCTACAACCTGCTGCGTGCCTGCTGGTGTGTGGAGTTCAATAAATACTTGTTAAAAAGGAATGCATGCATGCGGAGAAAGTGGTTCTGCAAGTAGCTGGCCCAGGAGTCCTGAGAGCCACTGGTTCAAATTGGAAAGAAAAGGAAGTTGTTTTCTAGCTGTAATCTTCTCTTTACTGGACATATGGGCCTGATTTCTAAAGCCCCAGACCTGTTTTTATTGTGTGCTCTTTACCTTGAGTCGGTGCAGCTCTGAGGAAACGAGATGTGCTGTCCTTTTGGCTCAACGCTAGCATTACTCACGTAGGCTGAGAACCTGGGAGGGCCGTAGGAAGAGACTCACTAGCACAGGGCATTTGCTTTAGAAGATTTTGCCCCCAAATCTAATCTTCTAATCTTCTATAGGGCTTGCTTATCCCCAACATCAGCCCCTAGGCCTGAGAGTCATTATAGACACTTCCGTAGGAATGTAATGACTACACTACTTGGGGCACAGGTGTAGGTAGAGAATCTACGTCCCTTGACTGTCAGTCTTGCTGAGAGATTTTGCACAGAAACCTGGCCATTTCTGGACAAAGATAAAGTTTGATCGATGTTGCTGATACTGAAATCTGGTCTGTATCTCACATTTCATGATACCTCATTCTTGAGCAAGATTGGTCTAACCTGTTTGAATCTCAGTATCAGTTAAGGGAGTTTATTATGCAGATTCAAGGTGAAACCCAGGAATCTCTATTGTTGCACATTTCCCCAGGTGATTCTGATGTAGGGGCCAAACGCTAGAATCTGTGTGACTGAATGAGTATTGCCATCTGTAATTTGTTGGTTTCCTTTAGATTTAGAGCTATGCAGTTTTAGAGATTTTAGAGCTCCATGGTCCCATGGAAGTCATTTTACAGATCAGGAAGCTACAGTCTGGTAAAATAAGTGACTTGCCCAAGTTCATCCAGATAGCCACTGGCATTACTCTAAAAGTGAACCAGACTTATCTCATTTGTTTGAGCATCTGAATCTCTGAATCTTTACAACCATCTGCTGGCATACCAGTGGTATGTTATGCTGTTGCCAAGTTTTGAGTGGTGTTATTTTTAAGATGTGGGTGATGGACAGTTTTTTCTTTTTTCTTTTTTTTTTTTTGTCTTTTGTCTTTTTCTGTGTCCGGCAACAGATCGCAACCCTCAGTGTTGCCCCCGTACCGGACCGGGGACCGGCAACGGGATCGCAACCCTCGGCGCTGCTCCCGCACCTCGCTCAGCCAGTGAGCGGGAACCGGTCTGTATGTGGGATCCGAACCCTCGGGCGGGAGCGCTGCCGCGCTTCCCAAGCGGCGCACTAATCCAGTGCGCCACTGGGCCGGCCCAGACAGTTTTTTCTTAATGAGAGAACCTTTAGGAATGTTCAAAAGGAAAATTGAACAATTTCTTTTGTTCAGAAGTGCCCTCACAGATTGAAGTTACGGTACCTAAGTTTTCCTGCTTCCTCTTCTCCCCATACAAATAGCAATAATGTCTTTTAGTGTATTTGAGAACATATATGACATATAGGAGAATAAGTTTTCTCACATGTGTGTGAAAACATAAATGTTAGAGAAATCTACCATTATAACTTTTAGTTCCTTCCTTGTATTGGGTGTGGGCTAACAGGAGGTGACAGAAAAGGAAAATGAAAAGATGTTGGTAGAGGAATGGAAAACAGTCTTCTTCACTGATCTGTTCTTAGCTCCTGTTATGGTGCCTGGAGGTGTAATACTTGTTAATTATTTGAATGAATGAATAAATGACTTAATAATCATCTGTACCTGTGTTAAATCAACATGGACATCAAGTTACATACACCCAACTCACTAGAATGATGGTAGGAAGAGTCGGAATGGCTTTCTGCCAAATAGTCATTTAAAACGTTTCCACAGCCTTATTGGTGCACCCTCAATTTTAAAGTTGTCATCTTTAGACAACCAGATGTTCTTGTATGTTAATTACACTTACATGCTGCACAGTTTTATACTGACCTTTGTGGTTTAGATTCTGACGATTTTTCTACTAACCAGATGTTCTTGTATGTTAATTACACTTACATGCTGCACAGTTTTATACTGACCTTTGTTTAGATTCTGACGATTTTTCTACCCAGTTTAGTAATTTTCCATTGTTATTCTTTCCAAAGAAATAGAACTTGCTTAAAAATATATTTTCTGTGTCTTTTGACTGTCTTTATTTTGATAGAAATCACATTGCAATTAGAAATGCATATACAGTTTTAAAAAGTAAATTTGTTTCGATTTGATATGCAAAGAGACTTGTGTAAGTAGATAATAATTTTGAAAGAATTGCTTAAATTGTAGTATTTTAAAAGTAAACCACTGAGCCTAGAAGAGTATTCCCATGTTAAGTGGCACGGTCATTTTAGAAAATTTTACATTTAAGTTCAAGCTATCAGTTTAAAAAGTTACATAAAAATATGTGGAATTTTCAATTCTTATTCTGTTATTTGGAGTTGGAGAATACAATTACATATGCTTTTTACTTGAAGTAATTACAAATTGGGAAAAAAGAAAATTAAGGCAGTGTGTTCCAAATGAGTGAATAAATGTTTCTATCTTAAATATCTTAAATATTATTGCTCTCTTTGATTTTAGGAATTTGAAGATAATTTTGATGATGAAATAGATTTCACACCACCAGCAGAAGATACTCCCTCTGTTCAGTCCCCAGCAGAGGTCTTCACACTTTCGGTACCAAATATTTCACTACCAGCTCCATCCCAATTCCAACCTTCCGTAGGTAAGACCCTGTATGTTATATGTTGCTTTGCCTCCCATGGATTTGTCACCCCTTTTCCCCTGGGTGATGGAGCTGCAAAGGATTACTCAAAGCCCATCTCTTCTGAGCAGTGAGAAGCCCTGAAGTGGTTAATCTCCCAGAACCCTCAAGAGAGAGGCATTCCTTTCTTTTGGGAATTAACCATGAATTGGGGTTCTCTTCCCACATTTATTCTCCAGACCTACAGGAAGAGAACATAGGTGGGGTTATAGTTTTAACAATATAGGCTAGTAACATTCAGTAAAACAAGCCAGATGACATTCCATAAGGCAGTTTAAGTGATCTACCAACAAAAGCTTGATCTTAGCAAACATTCCTTCTCCTACAGCAGCTTTCCAGTATCTTTACATATCAATCAGTAACTTGTCTGTCTTTGAACCAGCAGCCTTGCTGTGTTACAATTTTTTATCTTACAACAGAGACTATATAGCCTGGGGAAATTTTTCTGTTTTTTGCAAGGTCAACATTTTATATGTACTTTTAAGAAGTTAGACTAAACCTGAAAGCACAAGAAACTAGGCCCTGTGAAGTATATTTGCTTTATAGTGTACTCCACAGTTATATTTTCACGAATTATTTTTGAGAAGTGAGAATGGGAGCCTTGCTGCTATCATAACATACTGGACTGCTCATCTTCTCTTTTGGTTGTTTATTTCTCTTCCTTCTCCTCCCAGTGAAGCTGAATTCTAGAGCTCAGGCCCATTGCATTCCTGCAAAAGTTGAGTCTTTTTCTTTCTGGACCCTGGGTTTAGTATAATACTAAAACTGGTCTCCTTAATTAATTGAAATTGGATACCCTAGGTAGGTTTCTCTGCTAGTTCTGGACACTGCTTGTCTTCCTGATCAAGACATTGCTTATCTTCTACTGCATTGAGGAGGTTGGGTATATTTGGATATGTTAATCAAATTGACTTTTCATAAGCTTCTTAAGATAGAGGTTTGATTAGATGTTAATTGCTTTCTTGTTATAAAATAGAATATGGCTTGTGGTTCAAGAAGTAGGGTTTTCTAACACTGCCAAAAGAAGTCTGTTTCAGTCTTTGTAGGTTCTAAGCCTGCCTCTTGTGGTACTACACACTGGCTTATGTTTAGCGCGGTATAAACCCAAGAGATGATTATACTACTGTATAAGTAGGGTTTTCTAACACTGCCAAAAGAAGTCTGTTTCAGTCTTTGTAGGTTCTAAGCCTGTCTTTTGTGGTACTACACACTGGCTTATGTTTAGCGCGGTATAAACCCAAGAGATGATTATACTACTGTAGGCATGCACGACTAAAAGAAAAAGTAAGATAAAACATGACATAGCTGGTGTGTTTCATATAAAAAATGCGTAAAGTAAGGCATTAGATTTTGCAGCACTGGAAAAATGACATGTAGTATTTAGCTTTAATTTCTGTACATAACAATACACTCACTTCAACCAAAATAGTGAAGTTTAAAAGGAATTTAACATATCCTTAGGATAATTTAAGTATACTTATCTCTAAACTAAAATGTTTTGTCGTTGCTTATTTGATAATTTGCTTTCCTTTGTACTTGAAAGCCCTGAGAGGCTGCTCAAATTTGTTCTTGAAACCCTTGAGTGAATTTTTCATTTTGCTTATTATACTTTTCAAATTTCAAAATTCTATTTGGTTCATTTTTATGATTTCTATCTCTTTACTGATCTTCTCTATTTGGTAGGACATCATTCTCCTAGTTTCCTTTAGTTTTTTGTCCATGGTTTCCTTTAGTTATTTGAGCATATTTAAGACAGTTGATTTAAAGTCTTGTAATAAGTCTAATGTCTTTGTTTTCTCAGAGACAGTTTCTGTTTTTTTCTTTTTTACCTATGAATGAGTCATACTCTCTTGTTTCTTCGCATGCTTCATAATTTTGGGTACATTTTTAATAATATGTGCAAAAAAGAAGTAAAAAAGGAAGAAAACAAAAAAAAACCTCTCTAGATCTTTACAGATTGGCTCTGTGTTAGGGCACTCATTCAACATTAGCCAGGCTGTTTACAACTCTGCCTTAGTCTTTCTGCTAGTGCTGAGCCTAAAGACCAGCCTTTGGTGAAAGCTTATGTTCTTTTCAAGTCTTCCTGAGCGTGCATCCTGCCCTAAGCATGCATGTGGCTATCTAGGTTCCCTCATACACACAGTAGCTTTTCAAATTCTCTATTCTCCCCAGAAATCTCACTCCCCGCCTTTTCTGCCAAAGCTTTCAGCATGCACATGTTTGCCTCAACTGTTACTTTTTGCTCTAGGAGGCAGTGGCTTGTTCATTTTGGCTTTTGTGTTTTTTGAGGAGCATGTGACCACTCCATCCTGATAGAGTTTGGTGAAACAAGAGGAAGCCACTTGTGGCAGTCCTTCAGGGAAACCCCAGTCAGGTCAAAATAAACACAGTTTCTTGGAAATAAGGTTCACTATGCTCTCTCTTGAACCAGTACCCACACTGGGAACACAGGCTGTCTTTAAGACTGTTGCTGTACTGGGGAGGGGGAGGGAGTTAGGATAAATTAAAGCCGCAAAGATATCCTATGCTGTTTTGGTGAACTTTCTCCTGGTCTGCTTCGGTTGTTATAAACCTTTGACTATCTTCCAGAGTTCTGATAAAGTTGATATTGACAATTTTTGAAAAGTTTTTTAGTGTTTCTAGGGACGGACAGCACCTGGAGGTCTTTACTCCACCATTTCCACTGATGGCACCTCTTCTCTGGGCAATTCATTTGATAAAGGTGCAATTAAATGGTGCTGGAAGAGTTGGATGTTCACAGGCAGACAAATGAACTTTGATGCATACCTTATGCCATATGTAAAAATTAACTGTAAAGCCATCATAAGCCTAAATATAAAACCTAAAATTATAAACCTTCTAGAAGAAAATCTTTGTGATCTTCAGTTAGGCAAAGATTTATTAGCTATGACACCATGAGCATCATTCACAAAAGGAAGTACTGATAAATTGGACTTCTGCTTTTTGGAAGACACTGAATGAAAAATCAAGCCACAGACTGGGAGAAAATATTTGCAAATTACGCATTTGATAAGAGACTTGTTTTCAGAATATACAAAGAACTTTCAAAACTCAGTAATAAGAAAACAACCCAATAAAAATGAGGCAAGGATTTGCTTAGATACTTTACCTCAGAAGATACATGGATGGCAAATAAGCAAATGAAAAGGTGCTCAAAATTACTGGTCATTAGAGAAATGAAAATTTAAAGATTGCATACCCTTTAGAATGGCTGAAAGGAAGAAGACTGACTATAATGTGATGGCAAGGATATGGAGCAACTGGCGCTCTCATGCACTGCTAGGTCAAAAGCAGTTGGCAGCTTCTTAAAAAGTTAAATATATACCTACCATATGATTCAGCCATTCTGCTCCTTGGTATTTATCCAAGAGAAATGAAAGCATATGTCCATATAAAGACTTGTACACAAATGTTCATAGCAACTTTATTTGAGATAGCCCCAACCTGTCAACAACATAAATGTCCATCAACATGTGAATGAATAAACAAACTGTAGTGTACTCATTTAGTGCAAAACTTTTCAGTGATAAAAAAGGATAGACTCTTGATACATGCAAAAACGTGGTTGAATCTTTGTTAGAATAATTGATATGAGCCAGGCTCTTAAAAAAGGGTACATACTGTATGATTCCAGTTACATAATATTTTAGAAAATGCAAATTATAGTGCAGAAAGCACAGGAATGGTTGTCTGGAAGTGGGGATGGGAGGGAAGGATTACTAAGGGGCAAGAGAAAACTTATGGGGGGTGAGGAAGATGTTTACCATTTTGTGGTGGTGGTTTCACAGGTGCATACATATATCATAACCTATCAAATTGTATACTTTAAATGTGCATTTTATTGTATGTCAATTACATCTCAGTAAAGCTGTTTTTAAAAAGTTAAAGAAGAGTAGTTTAAGAGGGCTAATCCTGTATTCAGGTGAACTGTTGAAAGATCATAAAAATAAGGGCTAACAAAAGGCCATCGGAATGGTGATTAGTGGTTATGCTAGAGTAGTTGGATCAGAAAAAAGCAGTGCAAGGTATTAAAGAATCAGGGTGGGGGCTGGCTGATTAGCTCAGTTGGGTATAGCATGGTGCTGATAACACCAAGGTCAAGGGTTCTATCCATGTATTGGCCAGCCACCAAAAAAAAAGAGCAGGGTAGGATACTCATTCAAAAATATTGTCAGTTTTAAAGCGTGAAACTATTTTGGCATCTTACTTTGAGAGGGGTATTTTATGTCTTTATTTCTGCCTTTATTATTAGCACAAGCACAAAATTTATGTTAGTCTTTCTACTTTATAGGTTATGTATTTAATATTTATTTTATTTTAGTTACTTATTTAATTTTTAATGTTCTTTTCTCTATAGAAGGTTTGAAGTCTCAAGTTTCCCGCCACAGTCTAAACTATATACAGGAAATTGGAAATGGCTGGTTTGGAAAGGTAAAATGTTCTTTGCTTTCATTTTTTCCTCCCTAATTATACTTTTTAGAATTTAAGCTAATTAGGAATTTTATCATGTGACAGTCTCTATAGACACTGTAGTAATAAATGAGTTTCCCCATTGCCACCTGCAGCCATAGGGGATGTATGAACTTCAACATTCCTGGCTGTGAGGGCTGGCCCATGGCTCACTTGGGAGAGTGCAGTGCTGATAACACCAAGGCCATGGGTTCAGATCCCTATATAGGGATGGCTGGTTAGCTCACTTGGGAGAGCGTGGTGCTGACAACACCAAGCCAAGGGTTAAGATATCCTTACCGGTCATAAAAAAACAAACAAATAAAAAAAACATTCCTGGCTGTGTAACTTTTTTCAAGAGGGTTGTCATAGTCTACTCAGTCTACTGTAACAAAATATCATAAACTGGGTGGCTTCTAAACAACAGAAATTTATTTCTCACAGCTCTGGAGGCTGGAAGTCCGAGATCAAGGTGCCAGCTGATTTAGCATCTGGTGAAGGTTGCTTTCTGGTTCATAGATGGCACCTTCTTGCTGTGTCCTCAAATGGTAGACAGGGCAAAGCAGCTCTCTGGGTCCTCTTGTAATGGCACTAATCCCATTTATGAGGACTCCACCCTCATGACCTAATCACCTCCCAAGGGCCCCACCTCCTAATACCATCACATTGGTGAGTAGGTTTCAACGTATGAATTGAGGGAGGACACAAACATTCAGACCATAGCAAAAGTCTTTTTTTTTTTTTTTTTTTTAAGTGTATCAGAGACTTTTCTAGTTGTTGGCATAAGAACAGTAAGAGCGGAGGAAAGACCTGGAATTTTAGAAACTTTATCTTCATCATGTTAAATCATTTGTTTTTTTCTTCTTCACCCCCTTCTCTCCCTCTCCCCTTATTTCTCTCCCCTTCTCCCTTATAGCACTTAGACCACCTTAGAAGTGTAGATGTAGATAGTCTTATTGTAATGAAAACCATTGTGAAGAACTGTCTCTATTTCTCATAGCCTGTCAGGTGACCTATAGTAACGGTGCTTGGTCCATCTTTTTACCATAGATCATTTGAAAGGAATCGTGTAATACAACTGTTTCCACAGTGTAGCAGACATTCTGTGTAAAAGGTTCCTAACTGAGTGGTGATTACAACATAGGCAGGGTGGTGAAGATGGGAAGATGTATTTGCTCTGCAGTCCACCATCTTTCCATTCAGATTTGTCTATCTCATATTTTTAATGTCTGACAGACTTCATTAGTTACCAAATCTTCTAAGCCATTTAGCAAAACCTGTTATGTACCAGACATTGTTCTTGGTGCAAGTTGAAAGGAATCGTGTAATACAACTGTTTCCACAGTGTAGCAGACATTCTGTGTAAAAGGTTCCTAACTGAGTGGTGATTACAACATAGGCAGGGTGGTGAAGATGGGAAGATGTATTTGCTCTGCAGTCCACCATCTTTCCATTCAGATTTGTCTATCTCATATTTTTAATGTCTGACAAACTTCATTAGTTACCAAATCTTCTAAGCCATTTAGCAAAACCTGTTATGTACCAGACATTGTTCTTGGTGCAAGGGTATTATGTGGAGGAAGCTGGATAAAGTCCTGGCCTGTGTGGAGCTCTGGGAATGTAGCAGCAAACAGAATAGGACCTCTGCCCTCACTGTGCTTAAATTTCTAGTTGGGAGAGTGAGGCAGTAAACAGCCAGGCATAGGAGATGGGCACAGAGGGGTATAGGGCAGCCAGACACAAGATATTGTATGCATGTAGAGATTGACTTTCACTCAGAGTGAAGTGGGGAAGTATCCTGGTGGTTCAGAGATGAGTGACATAATCTGACTTGTCCTTTAAAAGGATCACCCTGGCAGTTATGTTTTAGAGGGCCAAGGTGAGAGCAGAGTAATTGGTTAGAAGGCAGTCATCCAGGGAGAGATCCAGGCAGGAGAGATCCTGAATGATAGCAGTGGAGGGGGTGAGAAGTGGTGGGACCCAAAGCAGATTTTCAAAGGAGAGTGTACGGGACTTAGGATGGTGTAGATGTGCAATCTGGAGGCAGAGAGCAGCTGAGGTTTGTAGCCTGATTAACTGCAATAATGGAGTTGCCTTCATCAGAAATGTGAAAAAGACTACGGAGAAGCAGGCTTGGAGGAGGAAGCCAGGAGTTCACTTTTGAATATGTCAGGTGTGAGGTAGCTGTTAGACATCTAAGTGGGGATGTCAGGTAGGCAACCAGAAATGCAAATCGAGAGGCTCCAGGCTGGAGATATGAGTTTGGGAGAACTCAGTATGTAGATGGTTTTCAAAGCTATGAGATTAGATGAAATCATTGAGACTTTGAAGATGCTTCAGCCATGCTAATGTCTTTAGCAAACAGTGTATCTGCTGCACCCTTGAATTTTTCTCCTGAAAATCCTCTCTCATTCTCTTAAATATTGTATTTTGGAGTGCCTGTGTGTTGTCCTATATTGTGTTTTTTTTTTTTTTTTGAGACCGGCCGCACCGCGCTCAGCCAGTGAGTGCTGTGAGCGCACCGGTCATCCCTATGTAGGATCCGAACCCGCGGTGGGAGCGCTGCTGCACTCCCAGCGCCGCACTCTCCCGAGTGCGCCACGGGCTCGGCCCCTATATTGTATTTGATATTTCACTTGTAGCTGATTCTTACATGAGGTTGTTCATTCTTATTTTGTATTCTGTTAATTTCAGTGGAATGTTTTTTCTCTGTGTTTTGAATGAGGTTTTGGAACAAGATAAAGGCTGTGTGTCATTGGAATATCATGAATTTTTTTTTTTTTTTGTCCTTTTTGAGACCGGCCGCACCGCGCTCAGCCAGTGAGCGCTGTGAGCGCACCGGTCATCCCTATATAGGATCCGAACCTGCGGCGGGAGCGCTGCTGCGCTCCCAGCACCGCACTCTCCCAAGTGCGCCACGGGCTCGACCCAATATCATGAATTTTTTAAGTTTCAGTGCAGTGATAGTTTATTTGTACATTGGCCGTTTGTCAGTTTATTTCTTCATATGTGCACTAGACTAAATAACAAAACTTAGTTGAAGTGTTTTTGAGAAACATTGGAGTTATGTTTGAACTGAACTTATAAATTGCTATTCTGTTATATCATGGTTAATGTCCATGAAAGTACAGTACATTTTTAAATAAACAGAAAAGAAATATATATAAATATATGAATATTGTAAATATCTAATGAATGGTTTAAAATGACCCTTTTAATGAAGGGAAATATTTAAGTTTTCCAAGCTTTTTGTGAGTTAATAGGTAAAATAATAGAGAAGGCCTTCTACTTGTTGCTTAATTTGTTTTCCTGTATTTTATTTCCTGCTAAATGAGACCTACTTTACCGTTTTGATGGAAATGACACAGAAAATTGTTTTTTCATTTTAGGTCCTCCTTGGAGAAATTTACACAGGCACTAGCGTAGCAAGGGTGATAGTAAAAGAGTTAAAAGCAAGTGCAAGCCCAAAGGAACAAGATATGTTTTTGAAAAATGGAGAACCTTACTAGTAAGTAAACTTTTTCATGTGTTCTGTAAACATAGCCTGTAGTCTGTTGAAAATTAGGTGTTTAAAACTACTTTGGGATTTCTGCCAGCAAAACACATGATTAAATAAGAGCCAGAGTCTCATAAGACCCAAAATGTCCAGGTTTCGGTTGAAAATCACTAATTATTCCAAGAATTAGGAGAGCTGAACTTGAGTAAGAAAAGACAAGATACCAACACTGAGATGACAGAGATGTTAGAATTGTCTGGCAAGAATTATAAGGCAGCCATCATAAAAATGCTTCAGTGGGCAGTTACAGCACACTTAAATGAAAAAATACAGAGTCTCAGCAAAGAAATAGAAGATGTAAGGAAGATCTAAATAGAAATTTTAGAACTAAAAATACAATAACTGAAATAAAAAACTCGGTGGATGAGCTCAACAGCAGAATAAAGACGAAAGAGGAGAGAAATAGTTGAGTTGAAGACAGAACAATAAATACTGCCCAATTTGAACAACAGAGAGAAAATAGATTAAAAAAAAAAATGAATAGAGCCTCAGGGACGTGGGGGACTAGATCTAACATTCATGTCATAGATGTCCCAGAGTGAAAGGTCATAGAGGATGGGGCTGAAAAAATATTCAAAGAAATAATGGCTGAAATTTCCAAAATTTGGAAAAGACAAAACCTACAGATTCAAGGAATTGAGCAAATCCCAAGCAGGATAGACCCAATCCATGCCAAGACACATTACAGTCAAACTTCTGAAAACCAAAGACAAACATCTTAAAAGTCAGGAGAGAGAAACAATACCTTTCCTATTGGGGGAAAACAATTTGAATGCCAGCAGATTCTCATCAGAAACCATGTAGGGCAGAAGGAAATGGCACAATGTTTTTCAAGTGCTGAAAGAAAAGAACCGTGGCATTCTACACCCAGAGAAAATATCCTTCAGGACTATCCTTCAGCACATTCTCAGATGAAAGAAAATGAAGAGAATTTATTACTAGCAAACCCTCCCTGAAAGAAAGACGAATTTTTCTAAACAGAAATGATTAAAGAAGGAATTATGGAGTATTTAGGAAGGAAGAAGAAACAACAGAAAGGACAGAAATATAGCTAAACTTCCTTAATTTGATAAACAAAAATCCTGCATCAAGCATCATACTTAATGGTGAAAGACTGAATGCTTTTACTCCCATGATCAGGACCATGTATGAATGTTTGTTCTCCCTACTGCTATTCAGCATAGTTCTGGAAGTTCTAGGCAGCTCAAGAAGGCAAGAAAAGGAAATAATAAAAAGCATATAGATCAGAAAGGAAAAGGAAAAGTGTCTTTATTTGTAGATGACATGGTGTTTTATGTGGAAAATCCTGAGGAATCTACAAAAGAATCTCCTAGAACTAATAAGTGAGTTTAGCAAGGTTGCACGATACAGATCAACAAGGATACAAGATTGACAGTCAATTTTATTTCTGTATACTAGCAATGAACACATGAAAATTAAAAATGTAGTAACAAAATAAAAAATATAATAACACTTAACAGTTGCTCAGAAACAAAGAAGAAATGCTTAGGTACATGTACAGGACCTGTATGCTGAAAACTACAAAAAGCTGATAAAAGAAATCAAAGATCTAAATAAATGGAGAAGCATATCATGTTCATGGATTGAAAGAAGCAATGTAGTAAAGTTGTTGATTCTTCCCAAATTGATATCCAGGTGACTGCAATTCCTAGCAAAGTCCCAGCAAGATTTAAAGACCCATACACAAGATTATTATAAAGTTACATGGAAAAGCAAAGAAACTAGGAACTAGAATAATCAAAACATTGACGGAAAATAACAACAAAGTTGGAAGAATCACTGTAGTCAAATTTAAGACCTCTTATACTTGTATAGCTACAGTAATCAAGACTGTGTTACTGGCACAGGGATAGGCAAATAGGCCAATGGAACAGAATAAAGAACCTAGAAATACGCCCACATGAGTGTGACCACCTGATTTTTGACAAGGGTACAAGAGCAGCAAAATGGAGAAAGGATAGCCTTTGCAGGTGGTGCTGGGACAGTTCGTTATTTATAGGGAGAAAAAAGATCCTTGACCTAAACCTTACATCTTATGCACAAATTAAATTGATATGGATCATAGCTATAAATGTAAATTATAAAACTATAAGACATTTTAGGATATAATATGGTAGAAAATGTAAACAGACAAAAAAATGTCATGGAAAGATTTCCATTATCTTTCAATTCTATTTTTCCAGAACTTTTTGAAGTTGTGTTTATATTCTGTTTCATTAATTTTTTAATGCAATTTATGTTGCTAAATTTAGATATTTAATTTCTGTTCTTGATTTCTTTTAATTAAGTGGACTTGTTGATTTGCCTAGAAATTAATTTGCCTTTGAAAAGTTTATTCATCTTCCCCTGTTGAAATTAATTTGATATTTGCTTGCTTTTGAAAAACTTTAGAGAGCTATCTCAAATAATTGTAGAGATTATAAAATTAAATATGTAAATTTTAATAAGTTTTACATCTCCAGTTTTTGTGCATATTTGAAGCCCTACTTTCTATAGAGTATTCTGTTATTCAGTTTATGTATTTGTTATTTGAACAAATAAATGTGCATATCCTTAAAAATGAAAAAAAGAACATAACATAGGAGAAAATCTTCGAGGCCTAGATGAACAGTTATTAGACATGCCACCAAAAGCACAGTCCTTAATAGAAAACAATTGGCATATTTTTTTATCATCAAAATTAAAAACTTTTGCTCTATGAAAGACCCTGGTAAGAGGATAAAAAGACTGGGAGAAAATGCTTGCAAACTGCACAGATGACTTAGGACTCATACCTAGAATTTTTAAAGAACTCTCAAAATTCAACAGAAAAAAAATGAATGATCCAATTAGAAAATTGGCAGAAGACGTGAAGAGACATTTCACTGAAGAGGATATATGCATGGATAGCAAATAACCACAGGAAAGATGTGCAACATCACTAGCCACTAAGATAATTAATTAAGATCACAGTGAGCTATCACTTCACACCTATTGGAAAAGCTTTAATGCAAAAATAGTGACAGTACCACACGCTGGTGAGGATGTGGAGGAAACAGATCTGTAATACATTGCTGGTGGAAATGATAAATGGTACAGCCACTCTGGAAAATAGTTTGGTACTGGGCCGGCCCGGTGGCGCACCGCTATAGTGCGCCGCTTGGGAAGTGCGGCGGCGCTCCCGCCGAGGGTTCGGATCCCACATACAGACCGGTTCCCGCTCACTGGCTGAGCGAGGCGCGGGAGCAACACCGAGGGTTGCGATCCCGTTGCTGGTCCCGGTCCGGTACGGGGGCGACACTGAGGGTTGCAATCCATTGCTGGACACGGAAAAAGACAAAAAGGGAAAAAAAAAAAAAAGAAAATAGTTTGGTAGTTTCTTAAAAAACTAAACATACATTTACCGTATATTAGGAACCTCCAGAGAACAAAACCAATAGGGTGTGTATATACATATACCAGAGAGATTTATTATAAGGAATTTGTTCATGCCGTTATGGAAGCTGGCAAGACCAAAACCTGCAGGGTGGGCCGACAGGCTGGAGGCCGAGGGAGGAGCTGATGTCACAGTTTAAATCTGAAGGCTGCCTGCTGTCAGAATTTCTTCTTCCCTGGAGGGGATAAGTTTTTGTTCTATTAAGGTCTTCAGCTGAAGGGTGAGGCCCACCTATATTATGGAGGGACTGCTTTACTGAAAGTCCACCCATTTAAATGATAATCGCATCTAAAAACACCCTCACAGAAACATCCAGAATAATGTTTGAGCAAGTATCTGGCCACTGTGCCCCAGCCAAGGTGACACATAAAATTAACCATCACATTCTGTAACCAAGCAATTGCACTCCTGGGCATATATTCCAGAGAAATAAAAACTATGTACACACGAAAACCCTTACATGATTGTTTATAGCAGCTTTATTTGTAATAGCCAAAAACTGGAAAAACAAATGTCCCTCCATAGGTGAATGGTAAACAAACTGTGGTACATTTATACCATGGAATACTGCTCAGCAATAAAAAGGAATGAACTATTCATACATGCAACAGCTTGGATGATCTCAAGGGGATTGTGTTGAGTGCAAATTCAGTCTCAAAAGGCTCTATACTGTATGATTGCATTTATGTAATATTCTCAAAATGAGAACATTATAGAAATGGAAAATAGATTAATGGTTGCCAGAGGTATAAATGAGTAGCATGAGGGAGATCTCTGTGATGATGTGTTGAGGTGGTGGGTTATAGGAATCTGCATTTGTGATAACATGACATAAAATTCTACACTCACTTTATCACAGCATCGCTGGTTTTGGTATTGTATTGTATGTGATTGTGTCAGATGTAACCAATGGGGCAAACTGGGTGAAGGTGACAACAGACCTCTCTGTCCTGTCTTTGCAACTTCTGTAAATTCATGTTACAAAGTACATGGTTTTTTTTAAAAAAAATTATTTTGGTATATACTTTATTTAACTTTATTTTCTTTTGTACAAGATATATTTCAAAAAGAATTTTCATATATTCTGTGGAAACTTATAGAAATAGTAGGTAAGCTAGATAGCATGAAAGGGAGACTGAGTTATTTAATATCTGGATTGAAATGTTTATTGAATTTGTATAGTCTGCCTTCTTGTAAATGCTGTCTCAAAATATCACTAAACTTAAATTATTAAGGATTCTTAATGTTCTTTTTTAATTTTTGAAATGTTCAGCTGATTGGCTTTGAATTATTTAATCATTAGATAACAGTATATATACGTCTGTTAAGAGTAATCTTAAGGTGATCTTTTCAGTTTGCCATATTTAAATCATTGTGAATGTTAACATTTGAACAGTTTTACTAGCATGCTTCCTAATGAACAATACAATGACTTTTATTTTTACCAGTATTCTTCAGCATCCAAATATTCTTCAGTGTGTTGGACAATGTGTAGAAGCAATTCCCTATCTCCTGGTGTTTGAGTTCTGTGACTTGGTAAGTTTTTAGTAGAAATTCAAGTTCAAGTATTTGAAAGGTTATGCCCAAGTGTTTTTGGCAGATAGAAATGGTGAATGAGGGACTGCTTTAGTATCTGTCTCCCATTTGAAGAACTTTGTGATGTCTTAAGTGATAGTATTAACTTGTGCTACCACATTTAATCATAGCAAACCCCTGAGTAAGGTACTGTTGTTTGTCCATACTTTACATATGATTAAAATAAGGCCTGGAGAGATTAAGAACATGTTGTGATATCAAGTATGTAGTGGAACCAGAGCTTGATTCTAAATTTGCCCTTCCTCTGAGCTTGAGGCCTTACTGTCAGGTAGGCCTTTTGAAACACTTTCCCCCATTGAGAGAGCCCAATAATCTCCTTATCCATAGAGACCCATAATTTGTCAGTTTTTGAAAATAGTGAATATATGTAACATTTTATATTTTAAAGGTATTAGATGATTTATTTTCTTAACCTATAACTAATAGCTTTATTTCTTAGCATGATAATATCACTTATTAAGACTTATAGTTGGAAAGATTGTTCTTTGTGCAGTTTTATGAATAATTTCAATAGTAATTTCTATGTGAAAATTTCTGTAAACATCTTTACCCCATATGCAGAGTATCTTAGCTTTTTTTTTAAGCCCATTTTTAGCATGTTATTGTTATTTTCCAAAAACAGTGGTAAGATGTCTTCTATGTGAAAATTTCTGTAAACATCTTTACCCCATATGCAGAGTATCTTAGCTTTTTTTTAAAGCCCATTTTTAGCATGTTATTGTTATTTTCCAAAAACAGTGGTAAGATGTTAATTGAATTAGCTAGGTTTTAATTGATTTTGTTGCATCATCTCAGTTTTTGGAACATTAAAACTTCCTTGGCTGTACACAGAAAGATGGGAATATCCCCAAATAAATCCTCAATTAATTCAGATAAGATTTTCAACTTTTAAAAATAGAAAGAGCAGTAAACATTGTGAATTTTCGTCGTAACCCCTAAATGTGATTTGAATATTTCATTGGCAGAGATGGTTAATTCCAAAAGAAAATTAATCAGTAAACCTGATATATTAGCTTTCATTGGATTATGTCATTATAACCCATAAATCTCCATGACTTATAGCAACAAAGTAGTTCTTGCTCATTTTACTTGGCTTTGGGTCAGCTGCAACTCTGTGCCAGGCTACATTCATCTTTCCTCTAGGAATGTTTGTTATACACACACACAGTGTTCTTTAGGGGGGCCTTTAGGTCAAGTTTATTAGGTTATTCAACCTCCTATATCCTTGTGAATTTTTGTTTTTTTGGGAGGGTTGGAGGGAATTTTAATCAGTTTTCTATCAGTTACTGAGAGAGAGAGATTAAAATTTCCTGCTCTCATTATGGATTTTCCTTATTTTTCCTTGTAATTCTGGTTGTTTTGCTTTACACATTTTTTTTTTTTTAAAGATGACCGGTAAGGGGATCTTAACCCTCGACTTGGTGTTGTCAGCACCACGCTCAGCCAGTGAGCAAACCGGACATCCCTATATGGGATCCGAACCCGTGGCCTTGGTGTTATCAGCACCGCACTCTACCGAGTGAGCCACAGGCCGGCCCTTGCTTTACACATTTTGATACCCTGTTGTGTAAGGGATACAAATTTAGGATTGGTGTAAACTACCTATAATTTGAAGCTTTTATCATCATGAAGGGGCTCTCTTAAGGTTAAAAGCATAACTACAGATAAAGTCTGTTTTTACTGATATTAATGTAGTTATACCAGCTTTCTTTTGATTCGAATATGCTTTGTTTATCTCTGTCAATCCTATTTTTCTATGGTTTACATCTCTTATGAATAGCTTATTGTTAAAAATTTTTTATTAATCTGGCAATCTTGGTCACTTAAAAAGGAACATGTAGTCCATTTACATTTGTTGTATTTAGTGAGATGTTTGGAATTTTATCCACCTATTTGGTGGTTTTTTGTTTTTTTGTTTTTTTTTTTTTTTTGGTGGCTGGCCAGTGCAGGGCTCAAACCCTGGACCTTAGTGTTATCAGCATCATGCTCTAACCAACTGAATTAACTGGCCAGCCCCTGGGATTCTTGATTTTTTATTTCAATTTCCCCCATCTACTAGTTTGGCCTTTAGATACTGTTTCTTAATTTGTGTGTGGTTACATTAGAAATTACAACATGCATATTAACCTTAACAAAGTCTAAAATCGATTAATATTTTAACCCTGCCCCAAAGAAGCTAAGACCTCATAGAGCTCTTTCTCCATGTAAGGAAAACTGGAATTAAACCCACTCTTCTGGACCATTCCCATATTCTCTTCCATTTTGGAAGGTGCTTATCTGTTGAACACTTAACTGTAGTAAGGGCAGCATGCTGCACCTTTGAGATGCAGACAAAATATGGTCATTGTCTTCTGGGTTTTCCTAGGTAGAGGGGACAGACATGATAAATTATTTAATAGAGGCCTGAGAATTATGAGGAAGGAGTTCTCAATTGTGTTTCTAATAGTTATATTGCCTGCTGTATTTTGTTTTGATTTTTTCAATATGATCAGTTATAATATTTATAATCCTAGGTTATTATGATATAAAAATCACTTCCTTTTAGTCTAGCTATCTGACCAATACACGGGTGATTCCGATGCAACACAGCTTTGAGAAAAGAAGATATAACACAAAGGTACGCTCTTATAAGTCTGCTTGTCAGAAGTCCACTTTTCTGAGACATTTAATGGTGCCCTTTTTGGCCCCTAAGCTCTTGATACTGATTATAAATAACAATCGAAACTTACTGAACGTAACAGAAATACAGCAGGTATCAGCATCTACTTGAAATCTCACCTGGGGGCCGGCCCGGTGGCCCACTGGAGAGTGCGTCACTTGGGAGTGCAGTGGCGCTCCCGCCAAGGGTTCGGATCCCATGTGGAGACCAGTTCCCGCTCACTGGCTGAGCGCGGTGCGGGCGCAACACCGAGGGTTGTGATCCCGTACCGGTCAGTAAAAAAGACAAAAAAAGGAAAAAAAGAAATCTCACCTGTTTCCAGGCTAATTGAGGTGCTTTGTAGTACTTTTTCAAATATTCTGGAATTTTCCTATTCTTTACCCTTCTGCATCAATTTCTGAAAGTTTTATTAAACAGTATTGTGGGACTATTTTCCTGGAATGGTAAAAGATGCTCAGCTTGTTTTCTTCTGAATGGGTTCAGGAGACAGGTTTAGTTTTAGTGCTATTTTAATTTATTGTTTTACTGAAGCAGTCCTTTTGGGGACTACAGTAAGTGCTCAATAAATAAGCATCCTTTACAATGGGAGAGAATATGGGGATGGCCAGAAAAGTAGGTTTAATTCCAGTTTTCCTTACATGGAGAAAGAGCTTTATGAGGTCCCAGCTTCTCTGGGGCATTGTTAAAATACTGATTAATTTTAGACTTTGTTAAGTTAAATATGCATGTTATAATTTCTAGTGTAACCATACACAACCTATTTTATAAAGAAACACTAAAACATAGCAAAATACAAAAATAACTCTTTTACCATTATAAATGACCTAGTATTGACAAGATTCTAGAGTATTCTTTGTATTTTTGTCATTGTACAGACATAAAAATATAATAAATGCATATATTCTTTAACTAGACATTCCTTTTTTTTTTTTTTTTTTTTTTCCTTTTTGTCTTTTTTCATGACGGGTAATGGGATCGCAACCCTCGGTGTCGTGCCCATACCGCAACCGGCAACGGGATCGCAACCCTCAGTGTCGCGCCCGCACCGCTCTCAACCAGTGAGCAGACCGGTCTCTATATGGGATCCGAACCCTCGGCGGGAGCGCCGCCACACTCCCAAGTGCCGCACTCTACCAAGTGTGCCACCAGGCCGGCCCTAGACATTCTTTTTATAAAATTTTCCCCCAGCACTTCTAGATCACAGATTTAAATAAATATTATCCAAGTACTTAGACTAAGTATTCAAAGCATATTAATTTACCTAAATTTGATTGGCTTTCATACCTTAGGGTGATGATTATGCATACAACCCTCAGAATTAACAAATGTGACTTTTGAAAAACTTATTTTATGTGACCCTTCTGAGTCACTTGAGGGACTGTTCACTCCTGAAGGCTGAACATCTGGAAGAGCTCTGCTCCTCACCAAAAGCTTCCATTGGCAGTGCAGAGCTAATAGCTATTTTTGGTTTAAATTCATTGCCCAATGTTACATTGATCAACAATAAAATTTTTAAAACAATCATTGTTACTCAAAAAATTAAAGAATTACTGTATGATTCAGCAATTGCACTTCTGGAGATATACCCAAAAGAAATGAAAGCAGAGTCTTGAGCAGGTATTTGCACACCCATGTTTGTAGCACCATTATTCACAATACCCAAATGTCCATGAGTGGATGAATAGATACACAAAATATGGTATAACCATACAATGGAATATTATTCAGTCTTAGGAAGGAAGTTCTGACACATGCTACAACATGGATGAACATTGAGAACATTAGGCTAAGTGAAATAAGCCAGTCGGAAAAAAACAAGTACTGTGTAATTCTACTCTTGAGGAACATAGAGTTGTCAAATTCATAGCAACAGAAAGTAGAATGGTGGTTGCCAGGGGCTGGCTGGGGTAAGAGGGAAATGGGGAGTTGTTGTTTATTGGGCACAGAGTTTCAGTTCTGCATATTGAAAAAGTTCTGGAGATGGATGGTGGTGACGGTTGTGCAACAGTGTGAATGTACTTAACACTGTGGAACGGTACACTTAGATGTGGTTAAGGTGGCAAATCATATGCATTTTTTACCACAATAGAAAAAAACCACTGATAATTAGCTACTACTAGTTAAGGTGCTGGTTAGGTGATACCTATATTAGGAGGAGGCTAGAATGCTCTTTGGAAATCTTTGGTTATTGCTTGGCATGGCCAATCTCATATCAAAGTAAAGGCCATTAACCCAGGGGTTCCTCCAACTTGCCCAGTAGTGAGAGATCATATTTGTCTCC